TGTCAGCTCCTTCAAGCAAGGTGTCATACCTGTCTAGGTCTTTGCTGTGTCTGCAGCATTTAGTTTGCCTGTTGACTGAAACGTGACAGACATTCAATGAATATAATTTGACAGATGAGGATAGACTTAGGAGACATGTACATAAATGCACACACAAAAAGATAATTTAATATTGTAAATGCTAGAGAAATATGGACAATTACTCCATTACTGTGTTACCTGGGGAGAGATTAACTCTAGCTGAGAACCTGGGAGAACCTCATGGAAGAAGAGATATCTTGGAGGTGGGATTTGAATAATAGGTAGAAATTTGACAGGTTGAGAGCAAGGGGAGTTATTCTTGTTGTTATGTACCATGAGGAGAAAATTCAAATGCCTATAGGAACAAAGAAGCCAACATCCATGAGAGAGGCAGACTGGGTAGGGACAGCAAGGAATCTATGAACACAAATCCCACTTGATGGGAGCAGCTACTCAGCTCATGATAATTGTTGCTACATTGGATCGGGGAGTCCAGGTGGCCAGACTGACCAACTTTCCAAGGGAAGCCAGAAATCTGGACTATTCTGTAAAATTTCTATGTTTCACTATTGGCAACTAATTAATATTAAGAGATTTCTGCTGACCTTGTGTTTGTGACTTGTACTTTAATTGCTGTACCTTAGATAAACTCCTTATTTAGGAAAGTATACCTTCTTCATTTCAGACTCAATAGCTATTCATTGAAATAATGTACAAGTTCCTCTAGTATGGTTTTAGAAATAATTTATTAACATATAAATCACACACTAAAAGGAAAAAGCTTACATTTGGAATTCTCTATTTTGGACAACCCTGCGAAATAAAAATTATTAGTTAACATTTTGCATTTTTGCCCTTTAAGAAAGGTTAACTCTATAGTCTAAGCATTGGTTGGCTTTTTAAGAATCTTTTCTTAAAACTTTTAAGAACTTAGATTTGCTTGCCTTTTAGAAAGTTCCTAATAAGCCATTTACGATAGAGAGATAAGTGAAGACTACATATTATAAACAAGAGGGCTTTCTTAAGTATGCCAAATAACATAAAATCTTTTAACCTTGTCTTTTGTGCACAAAGGCACCTTTAAGGGTGTCTCCAGTAAGTGCTATATTAACGCAGAAGTTTAGTTAATTACAGCCACTATTCTCACATACCTTAACTGAGTGTGAATACCAAGCAATCTAATCGTGTGCCCCTGAGCATTAATACCTAATGAAATTGGATTCCTTGTTTCCTCTAATGAGCTCATTGCTTTTCTAAATATGGTCATTGCAGGTAAATGATCAATAGCCTTGAAAATGACACCACTACTGGATTATGTTGGTGAGAAAGAAATACTCTGTATGTAAAATTAGTATTTTCACATATATATCTCAGGTGACTTTCTAAATAACTTCATATAACCAGAATAGCCATAGTGGATTTTTTGGTTTGTTTTAATGGCTGAGCAGAAGAAAATTGTGGTCAGTCACTCTTTGATTATAGAGAAGTGACTTCAAATCCACGTAAACTAGGTCAGGTTGAAGTAAACAGAATCCAGTGTGTTTCTGTTAATTGGGAGACTGATGGGCAGTAGACTATGAGAAGGTCTGTTTTCCACTACGATATATTTAATAGTGATAGCAGAGTTCTGCTATAGTGTAACGATTTAGTAAAAATAATCTCTACTGCATTTGTTTCCTAGGGCTGTCATAAAAAATTACCACAAATTTTGTAGGTTAATGTTGATGTGGGAATGTCCAGACCTTTAGAGTATTATTATAAAAGTTTATTTGAGCCAAACTAACAACAATTGCTGGGAAGCAATATCTTAGATGCTCCAGAGAATGACAGTTAGCAGTTTCTTTTGCACATTTGGAATTGAGGAGGGAGCATTAAGAAGATTATATGGAAGTGGGGGACAGCAAGTTGGGGTTGGATTACAGGGCACTTAACACGATTGTGTGTTCTCTTGAGGATGGTTATACTTCCAAGAGGTCTGAGAAAGAGGCTTTTCCAAGGTGCCTTAACCTAGATGCACAAAAACAATGACAGGGCTTGCTTTCGGCAAAAATAAACCTTCTATTGAAGGAGTTATTTGCCCAGGGAATGAATACCCACCATGACCTTCCCAGTTAGGAATGTATGATCTGATCACCCCGTGAGGTTACTTTCAGTCACTGGAATTGTCAGATTTATTCTAGAGCAACCCCCAACCCCTTTTGGCCCATATTCACACAAGAGAAATGTATTATCTCACAGCTCTGGAGGTCAGCAGTTTGACATCCAGGTGTTGGCAGGACTGCACTGTCTCTGGAGGCTCTCGGGGAGAATCTGCTCCTTACCTCTTCCAGCTTCTGGTGGCTGTGGGCATTCCTTGACTTGTGTCCACATCACTTCAATCCCTGCCTCGGTGGTCACATTCTTCCTTCTCTTCTGCCTATGTCTCTCTTCTGTCTCTTACAAGGACACACCATTAGATTTAGGCCCACTCTAGTAATCTAAGACCATCTTTTTATTTCAAGATCCTTAACTTAATTCATATGCAAATTTTTCCTAAATAAGATCACATTCACAAATTTTGGGGATTGGGACATGGGCATATCTTTTTGGAGACCACCGTTCAGCCTATTACATGTACCTTTCTCCAGTGTCATTGTGATTAGTTAGGAAAGCTGAACACAGTCACTACTCAGGGTAGTAGGATGTATAAGTAATTTATTAATGTTATAATTTACTGAGAAGATCATTTATATTGTGTGTTTGTACTTTTTCATTCTTATAACCTTTTTAGCATCTTCTCTTCTATGCAGATAAGAAGATAGAGGCTGAAAAAATAGGTAAGTTCTTGCCCAAGCATATAACACAACTAATAAATGTCAATTTATATTTAAAGTCTATATGTTTTCAACTATGGCTTATGTTTTATTCATATATTACTTTGCATGTTCACATTCTTCTTTAGAAATTGATGTGTGAAATTTCACAAGGCAGATTTTCTTCATTAAATTTTTGGTCTGTGATTCCTCAGCTTCCTGAGGTAATACTCCATACATTTCAAAACATCGCTTTCAGGGTTAACCTTAAGAAGTACAAGCCAAAGTGAGGTTTTATAGAATAATGGCCATAGGATGAGAATAAATTTAGGGCTTATTACTTCACCCAAAGATATCTTTTAATTTCCATTTCTAGAGCAGTTTAGCCTGAATGGATTTGGAATTTTGAAAAATTGGTGTTAAGCATAGCACAATGCGGAAGGCCCTGTGCACAGACTGGTGTTTGAGGCCCATCTTCCCCATTTATTAACAATGCTTTCTTGCCCTGGCCGGTTTGGCTCAGCGGTTAGAGCGTCGGCCTGCGGTCTGGAGAGACCCGGGTTCGGTTCCTGCTAAGGGCATGTACCTCGGTTGCAGTTTGTCCCCGGCCCTGGTTGGTCGTGCGGGTGGCAGCCACTCGGTGTGTCTCTTTCACATTGATGTTTCTCTCTCCCTCTCTCTTCCTCTCTCTCCCTCCCACTCTATCTGTGCAAAAAATGGAAAAATGTCCTCGGGTGAGGATAAAAAAACAAACAAACAAACAAAAAACAATGCTTTCTTGGGGTTAATCACTTAAGTTTCCTGTGCCTCATTTCCTTATTTCTAAAATAGATAATCATAATGATCTCTTACAGAGTCCTTTAAGAACTAAATGAAATAATAATATGCTTAAACAGTAACTGCTTCATAGTAGAGAATCAATATATAATATTCATTATTGACAATTGTATTTTACATAGAAAGTGATAATAGAAGCACTACATTCAAAATTGTGATGGATTTAGCCAGAAGAGGGGTTCAGTAAAGTTTTATTTGGCACAAAATGCACCTTCAAATCAGAATATGGGACAGAGAGTAACAGAGTGCAAATATACCCAAAAGGATTTTCTTTTGCAAATCAAAGTGTTTTATGTTCCTTTCTTCTTCACACCAATTATAATCCCTCTGTCTTTGCATTTCTCTCCCCACTCCACTCTGTCACTTATTCTTTCTTTAAGGAAAATATTAAGTTTTCATTTACCAAGACAATCCTTGTTAAATCTTACCTATTTCCAGATTTCCAAGGTAATTGAGTCAGTAATTGAGCCAGAAGCAACAATCATATTAGTTCTGTTTCATATGCATGAGCTCTGTCAAGATTACTGGAATCTATTTTCTCTTGGCATGTTTACAATTCTGAGAAACCTATTGTGACTTACAGTGTACAATGTAGAGATAAAGTATGGGAAGGCTCAGAGCACTGGTAGCTTTTAGCTCTAGGTGCACAAAGAATTACATGCACAGCATTTCTAAGTAAAAGTGCTTTACAGCTGTCAGATTGTATAAAATTAATGCTCAGTTTGTTTACATGCGTATCATAGTTTAAGCATTTGTAGCCTGTCAGTGGAGCAGGGAGGAAGAAGTCGTGAGGTCTTTATATCTCACTTATTTGTGTTTTTATATATAGCTTTCTGTGGCAATTATTTTAAATGTATGAACCTCATATATAATAAAACGTGTCTTAATGGAACTCAATGTTCATAATGAAGACAAATTAATGTACATTCTTAATAGACTCAAGATGTCAACAGTTATTATCGGTTATATTGATTGGGAGTGGTGAGTAAATGTCAGCACAGGAGAATGAAATAAATGGTCTCCATGTTACACTATGACTGGATGATGGAACCAGCCATAGGCATTTGAGTATATTTAATTCTGATTTGTATCCATCTTAGGCATGACTTTTCCCTGCTACCTCTATTCAGGAAGTGAATTCATCTGATGGTGGGGAACACCTTTAATTCTTAATGCTTAAGGGAAAATACTCTAAAATGCATTGTGTTTGTTGTAAATGAAATTCTGATCATGCTTGTAACCACTGTACTTTGTTATCAAACTCACAACAGTCAAGCTCTTCCTTTGATCAGGGAGGACAGAAGTGTGTCTGCATGAATCGTTTCACGCAGTGTCTTCTCCAACATCCAGGTGAGCACAAAATGCCGCGGCCTCTGGTGGGAGTGTGTCACAAATGCCTTTGATGGAATTCGGACCTGCGACGAGTATGACTCTATACTTGCCGAACACCCGTGTACGTATACCTTAGACACCCCCTGGCAGAGGGCATACCAAAGAAGACTGACCTCAGCTTTCCATTGTGTGGTTTTGTTTTCCACAGTACTGGATTCGGGTTCTGTCCAGTTTTAAATATTTTGATTAGAAATTTAACCTGAAATGTGAGTTGGAACATTTTAGCGTATTCTATCTTTTGCCATGTAATTGTAAATTCTTTAAAGTAAAATTATTGTCTTATTTATGTCTGCTTTTCCCTCAAAGGACCTGGCATCGTGCCTCATGCACAGTAGGCTTAGAGTAAACATTTAAAACATTGAAACAGATTCTTTGGGATGCTGTGATTTTATTAGAATTGACAGGTTCGACGAAAAGCATTTCAGAGACGTCTTTTAACTGTGACTGTGTTCAAATAGGAAGTTTACAGCATTGCGATGGGAGATTTTCCAAAAATAAATAAATAATAAATAAAGAGAATTGGAGGGACAAAGACAGAAGAAGATAGATTAAAGCAAATGCCTTTAGTTTCCTCCAAAGCAATTGACAGGTGATGGTACCACATTTTCTCAAGATAAATGAAAAGTAAACCTTGGACTGTGACTTCCCCCCGGAAAGCTATTTCATCTTGGGGAAGAAACGGAAAGGAGCAGTTCTGTAAAATCTTCCCCTGCCATTTAGGATGTGAGTGCCTGAGACGTTTTTAACATAATTCATAAGGCATCTATGTCATCTTTTAAAAAAGACCTCTTCATTCTTTCTCATTTTTCCTTCCCTGGGCTAACCTAGTTGAATCTACAAAGAAGCATGATCTGGTCAATAGGAATAGAAATCGATGCGGAAACTAGGCTGTTCCAGATATACAGTGATATGGTTACAACTGACAAAAAAAATAAAAAAGAAAGATGAAATCTTTCAACATTTTAAACGCTTACGTAAGAAGAAAGTAAAATCACTTAAAAGCACACTGCACAAGAGAAAATCACTGTTATATTTTAATGTTCCTTTTTAATCTATTTTTCTTGAGAATCTCACATTTTTCTTTTGATATTGTCTTATCTATTGCAAATATCTAAAAAGTACATTAATTTTCTTTAAAAATTCTATTGTATGCTTAAAGACAACAGAGATGAAACACATTCTATGAAAATATTATAACTATAGCCTCTAAGTTAAAGTGTTATTTATGAGAGTAGAGTTTTATTTTTAGTCTTTGATATCTTTTAACAACCATAGTTAACCTGAGATAACATTTCCCATTGCCCTGTTTACCTAGAGTATCCAGACCCAGATAAATACTTTCTCTCAGGGCTCCTGTTGATATAAGTACTTTGAACTCCCAACACCCCACCCCTGCAAATTAGATATATTTTTTTTATCTTGGCAGCCGAATCTCATGCAGTCCTCAGAAGGACATTCCTGGCTCACCTGCATTAGCAACCGGCTTTCAGTGCTGCTTTCTTCAAATTGGCCAGCCCATGGGCCCCTGTATGGCTTCATACACATGAGTCCTGGAGTTCCGCAGAGCATCTGAATAATGCTCTGTGTGGGGTTGATGGTCAAAGAAGGGAAGACCAATACCCAAGGCGATTTCAGGGAACCCCATGCAGATGGTGCTCCTGTCACTAGGTAGTTCCAGGTTCCAAAAAGGGTCATACAAAATTCCAAGGGAGACACTCCAAAGTGTGAGACCCCTTGGCTTAGGGTGCTGAGTAGCAGTCCCTCTCTTACATATCATTTGACTGTCAGGAGGATCTGTTGAAATAGGAACACTGATATTACCTAATGAGTTACAAGTTATTTTCTTTCCTCCATTCTGAGAAAAGTCAGCCTTAGATTTGGCCTAAATTTGAGCCTATTTTTTTTTTTTTAAATAATGCCGAATTTTGAGACCTTAAAAATTCCATTCTAAAAATGAATATATATGTACATATTAATAACACAATAATTACACACAGTATATTTACCTATTAATAAGGTAGCAGTTGATTTTATGCACTGACTTTCTCTTACATGGATCACAAAATTATTTTTTTATTTTAACTAAGAAAAATTGGCCACATTTTTGTAAGCAACCTGTTACTAAATAGGTCCTAAAGTTACCTCATTGATGGGGGAAATTATTTACAATGCAAGGAAATCCCAAATCACTATGAATAGAAAACTTAATTACTATACACTTAAAGGAATGCATTTTATTACTCCTCTTCGTTAGCCAGCTAAAAGAGTAGTAGTTCTGACTTTGGGCGATTAACCGTCCATTTGTAATGAAATCTTCCTATTGGAAATTTAACTTAACTGTGACTCTGTTCAGGAGGCTTCCCAGTTGAAGATGCTTCCATTGCAGAAGGTGACCGCTGCTTTTCCACTTCTCTTCCCTGGGCCTTCTACCATATGTTCTCACTGGCTGTACCTTTAAGATATGCAGTTGACAATGCAATATAAAAGTGTCAAGATGAAGTGTCGGCCAAGAAAGGCCATGACTTGAAGGAATGAAAGAGAGTATGATCTGTCTTCCAGAAACAATCTACTACCTGATGACAGAAGCTTTTCCTTCTTCTACAGTTCTCCCACCAGCCTAAATTGGCCAGAGATATCTTAAAGTATTTTATCTTGCCCCCATATCAAATTTTAATAAATTATTTTTAATTTATTACAATAAAATTTTAAACGAATATAATGATCATTTATTTATGGAATAGTCATTGAGTAACTTCTGCAGAATAGATACTCGGCTTTCGATTCAGCATTCAGTTATCATACTTGTGAACAGGACTCATTCCAGAACAGGAGGCAAAGGAGAAACATTTATTTAGTCACTATATGCCATGCATTTTGCTAAGAGGCCACTAAGACTAAGTAATAATCAGTGCTTAAACAAATAATAATGCCAGTAGTGTCATATTTTTGTGTTTTATGAAAAATTTAAGGGTACTCATTTCCAAGCTCATGCAAATTTAAATACACAGTTCTTTCAGCAGTCAATGTTAATATACTAAGTTGTCTGTTTTTATTTTTATTATTATTTTTTTTTATGTAGTTCTGTGAGTTAATATGTTTCCTTCCTCTGGCTATGCTGTAACCATATACCCTGATCTTCCAGTGAAGTTGGTGGTAACTCGCGCATTGATGATTACTGCAGATATTCTAGCTGGGTTTGGATTTATCACCCTGCTCCTTGGTCTTGACTGCGTGAAATTCCTCCCTGATGAGCCATATATCAAAGTCCGAATCTGCTTTGTTGCTGGAACCACATTACTGATAGCAGGTACTTGTCTGGACTAGAGCTAGAGGTACCGACACATATCTAAGGTCTTGAGCAGAAGGAGAACGGTGGTGTTCTGAGCCAGTTCATTTTAGGATCATTTCTGACTTGCTTTTCTAGACTGAAGGAATAAAGAACACTTCACCAGCCCTAATTTCTTTAGCTTTGGAATCAGATAATTGATCTTTTTGTTGTTGTTGTTAATATGGCAGATCAAGATTTATCAAAGTCCTCAAACTATTTTCAACCATCTAAAAAATAAAGCTGTATAATGTTTAAATTAAAAAAATAATTTATATTGTGATTATTCCTGAAGTTAAATTCTGAATTAAGCCCCAAACTTAATTAAGCCTCCTTACTTGTACCCACTGCACCAATTCCTTTTAGCAATAAACTAAACTGTGCCAAGTCCTATTAGACTCATGTGCCAACCCATTCAATCATAAATGAAACAATAAGCAAATCATATTATTACCATCACTTAAGAAGTAGATGAATAAATGGAGTTCTGAAGACTAATGAATCAAACATAATTGTAAAGCATAAGTCAAGAAACATTTCACATGGTGTTTATTAGTGAAAAATCAAAATTGATATTTTACTCAGGTCTTGTATCAAAAAGACTTCAAAGCTTTGTCTTTTCTACCACAACATGATGTCATTTTTGGATCTTAATGCAAGTTGGTAGAGAGTATCCTGTTGAAGGAACCAATAGGACCATCCTCCAGAGAGAAATAATTTTCTTTTATGGTAGAAGCAATAAGTTAGCCAGGCAAAGGTAAATGGAAACCTGACCAGGCACTCTGGGTAGTGAATAAATAGAGATTGTGGAATTAAAAATACCTGGAGATATACATGCATGATATGTGACCTTATACCAGTTACTTAACCTCTCTCCATTTTCTAATCTGCAAAGTAGGCTGAAGCCCCCGTAATAATATCTATCCCAAATTGCTGTTGTGAATATCCAGTGTGAGCTGAGCAAGCTCAGAGCAGAGAGCCTAACCCATCACAATCTCAAAACCAGGGACTCCCTGATTTTTTCATGTGAACATTGAGTGAAGGTCCTGCTGATTCTTAGGTTGTATTAAAAAGTCACAAGAATTTAGTTATTTTTCCTTTTTAGATATGAATTCTGATATCCAGCCTAGTGATAACGTGAAACTTTTGTATGTAATAATGTGTTTTACTTAACAAATTTAAACGTCATTTAATACTATAAAATTTTGTTACAGAATACTTTTTGGGACACCACTAGACACTGCATTTTTTGTATAAAACAACAAAATGAGCTAAATTTAAAGAAAACCAAGTCAATAAAGAAAATCCCTGTAGGAATGGTTGAAGAAAAAATGACTAAATTGCCAGACATGTCCAAAGACTTAGAACCATCATTCAATATTAGTATTTATATGTATTCTGTTTCTAAGTTTCAAAAAAGGAATTTCCATTCTAAACCTGTGGATTACAGTATTACAGAAAAGGCATGATAATTTATACCCTGTTATCTAAAAGGTATATATTCATGATCTGGTCCTTCTTCAAACTTCTTGCATTAAACAGTTGGGAGAAGAATGCAATGAAATGGTGGTTTAAATAGATAATCACACATTGCCTGGCTGGTGTGGCTCAGTGGATTGAGCGTCGTCCCATGGACTGAGAGGTCCTGGTTCGATTCCCTGTCAGGGCACAGGCCAGGGTTGCAGACTCGATCCCCAGTGGGAAGCGTGCAGGATGCAGCCAATTGATGTTTCTCTCTTACATAGATTGTTTCTCTTTCTCTCTTCCTCTCTCTCTAAAAAATCAATAAAAACATATTTAAAAAAATAGGTATCACAGATTCCCTAGAAAAGTATGAAAGTTTTTTTCTGACACTACAAATTTCAAAAAAATACCCTCATAGCCTTTTATCCCCCAATTCCCCATCATCTAGGCCTGACATGCAGTTTATCCCTTTAAAACAAGAGGACCTGGCTAGTATCACTTTAAGCCAGTTAATTGTCAGATAGAATAATCTATGGATATTAAATTTTATTTAAATGGAATAAATTTTCTTTATTTATTCTTGTATGTGGGGGTGATAGATAAGAATTTATTTTAAAATAAAGACAATAATTACTTCAATTACAGTTTTTAACTCCAATGCACTAAAAGGAATGACTTTAAAACCTCATTTCGATCTGGGTGCTGGTTGTGTAGCTGACACAGCTCCAGCGGCGGGGCTGGGTGCTGGGGAAAGAGAGAGACAGTTTCTCCTAAAGACATCTAGTTTCAGTTAAAATCTTGATCTCAAAAGAACATGTGATTTTCACTATTTGTTTTAAATTTTGTGTTCTTTTCTTTGTATTTTTCTTTTTTTAAAATATTTTTCTTTCTACAATACTAAAATGACATTGAAAAGATAGAAAAAGTAAGAAAACCATAGCAACCATTTTAGGTTTAAAAAACAGATGTGCACTGCACTGTTGTATTTTTGTGTTTCTGACATATAATTTGAAAGAAATACGAGACAGAAGGCCAAAGAAACACGTAGAAGAGGTGACCAAAATTTGAGTTGTTCATGAATCCGTAGTCTCATTATTTTTCTAAATGATGCCATCTCTCTTGAGTAGCAGGATTTAAATTTGGAAATAACCTGCATTTTTTTTTTTCTTTTTTGGTATCTTTTATTTCTTTCAGGTGCCCCAGGAATTATTGGCTCTGTGTGGTATGCTGTTGATGTTTATGTGGAACGGACTTCTCTGATTTTGCACAATATTTTTCTTGGCATCCAGTATAAATTTGGTTGGTCCTGTTGGCTTGGAATGGCTGGGTCTCTGGGTTGCTTTTTGGCTGGGGCTGTCCTCACATGCTGCTTATGCCTCTTCAAAGGTAAGAACAAAATGAAATAGCTTACTTCCTTGCCTTCGGTATCATTTTTCTCAACCCAATGGAAACACATCTCACCAGCCCCAAATAAGGTTATTTACTTGATCTCTATGTATTGACATTAAAAATTTTATTTGTTCAAGGACAACTGATTTCCAGTATTCCAACCTATTACCCAATTAGTGGTACATTTATTAAAAACACACACACACACACACACAAAAAAAAAAAACACCACAGCTGTAACTGTGTCTGGTATCCAAATATATAATTATTACTTTGATGTGTCATAATCTTATACGCCTCACTTCACCCAATCTATTAAATTTATATGTAGACTTAAACAGAGAAGTAGACTGACAGGCAAGCCAAATATTTGTTGTTTAAAAGTGTCATTTAGTTTCTAAAAATACAACTTGAAAACCAAAAGAATTTCACTCTTTATCAAGAAAAAAAATTAAGAGAATACTTGGCTAAATTTTAAATCTGAAAATAACCTTTAGGATAAAAATCTAGATTGTCATCTAGAGATCTTCTTAGATGATTCTTAGACTATGTAAGTTCTTGCCTTTCTTGGAAAAGAATATATAAGTTGACATTATTTTATTCAAAGTTTACTCTGCCACAGTTATTTTCATGTCTCTATAAATACCTCTCCCAAACAGATGTGGGACCTGAACGGAACTACCCTTATTCCATGAGGAAGGCCTATTCCACTGCAGCCGTCTCCATGGCCAAGTCATACGTGGCCCCTCGGACAGAGACGGCCAAAATGTATGCTGTCGACACAAGGGTATAGAGTCCTGCATATCCGTCTGTGGTTATATGTTATTTATCTAATCAATCGATAAGTTCAAGTGAATAAAATAGATAAACTGAGGAACAGTTATTTAAACTTCATGCTCAACTACGTTAATTGTGCAGCTTAATCAAAAAAGTGTGTTATTTCTTTTCTATTATTTTTATATTCTTCCTCATTCTTTCTTCTCTGTCTCTCTCACACACACTATATATAACATATATATATATATATAATATATATATATTTCAAGATGAGGTTGCTAAGATATAAATATGTGTGCTTGTGATTTCTATATGGCTATTAGAGATTGTGACATGGTGATATTAAAATAAAATGACATTTTAAGACTAGAAAGCAACCTTCAAAAGAGGCCAGAGATTCTCATCTTTGAAGGGATTGACAAACTCTTAGCCCTTTCCCTGGTTTTTGGTTCACTTTTTGTATTTTAAACTGAGTGAGTTATTTAAAAACTTTGAAGAAGATGGTTCTTCTAAATTCAATCTAGTATATCAGTGCTTACTCTGATTCTGTAAAAATAGAAAACAGACAAACAAAACAAACAGCTTGGTTGCCAGCCACTGGTAGAAGTTAAATAAGTTTCCCTTCACACTCCACATGTCAAAAGCAAATGCTAAGTTAATACTGGAGTCAGCAGTGACTTTCTTCCTCATTGGAGGTGGGGGGATCAGGAGGAGGGTTTCAATAGGGAAAAAAGGAGTAACATCTGTAACAAAAATAAATTAACAAAAATAATTATATATAAAAAAGAAGAGATCTGTATATTATTGTCACTACTCCCTGTTTGCCTGTATATTGCTAAATTATTGGACTACCGCAGTAATAGCTAAGCAAGGAGTGCACTCATTTATTGATTGGGTATCCAAATACATGTTATGAATGCATCATATTAGAATTCACTAACTCAGGTGTCCCTTCACAACTATATCCTCAACCCCTAGCAAAATATCTGACATAATAAAATTTAACAACTATTTGTTGATTGAAAGAAGTAAAACCTCACAACTCTTTAATAAATTTTCCTCATGAAATACGTTTTAGGAAAAAAATTAATTATATCGACACTTAAATCAATGGATGATTGCTAATGGGATTCATTCATATTCATAATGTAATCATCTTGAATTTTTTAAATGGTAAGTTTTAAAAAAGGTCATAAAATGTAACCTCAGGCTTACTGCTTCCTTGTAATTCACATGAGTAGCATTAATCCCTTGTGGTGACTTAATGAACTATTAACTGGAAATTAGTTCTTTGGAAAGTGGAAATGTAGATGTGAGTTTCTGAAGATCCCAAAAGAAATCCTTCAAATTTAATAAACTTAAAAGAATGTGAAAATGATATGATGAAAGCCTAGCACATCTATTCATGTTGTTGAGAATGGTGTTCACGATTTCAAAGGTATTTTTTTTTACCAGCATTCTTACCTAATCATAAATTAAGAGCAATTGATTCACTTTTATTTTATGGGTATTATTAGCTGAGTAATTAACATTGAAAAAAATGTATTTGTAGATCATGTTTCCTAGTTATATGTGTATTAGTCTATGCATTTGAAAACTTATTTTATCTTGCCCTTTTTACTCAAGCTTGTTTTTTACATGTTTATTTTCACTTTTATTTTATGACATATGATCTGTTATCTGTTATGTATTCTAATATGTCTCTTGAAATCCTTCTGGGTAAAGGCAGGGTAAAAATTAAGTAGCTCATTAGATTTTAGAGATACAAATCCCTCCCCCAACCTTAAAGCTTTCATTTGTATGAGGAAATATTTCAAAGGATTATGGTGATAATTGACATCTATGACAGTTTTAAAGTTTTTCTCAATAAAAACATTTTGTATATTCTAGGAAGACTACTAGTATTTTTTTTAAATTATACTGGGAATGTGTCTTTCCAATTTGCTATAATTTAATAAAGCATCCTCCAAATAAAGCCTAGCAAAGAATGCATTTTGCATTAGCAAATAGTGAACAACAAAACAAATATAAACTAGTGAAGAAGTAATCTTCATGGTGGTAGCTCAACATGTTTAGAAAGAAAAAAAATAATACAAGTCCAAATTGTACACACATACGATTATTAGGTTGAAACATTAAAATAACTAAATTCTGGGTACTGTAATTTAGTCATATCCAGTTAATTGCCATACAATTTTTTTAATAAAATTGGACAATTTTATTTACCTGTCCCTTTATTAACTATTACTTTCTAATTAGACTTTTATTATAAAAGTTGTATATGTGCATTGTAGACAGTGGGAAAACATAAACAACCAAAAATGGATGTTATTTAAATGGTATTGCACCATATTCTCTCCACCTAGAACATCACTGCTCCTAAACCTTACTGAAATCTGCATTTCTTTCCAGGTATCATGTATTTACACACATATACACAATGACACTCACTCATACACATATATTTCTTCCTTCAGAGATCATTTTATGTGTTGCCTGTAATCAACTCTTTATCGCTTTAACTATCTCTGCCTTTCCTAGCAATAACTTTTCATCTGATCTAATAACTGATCCATATGTAAATTACCCAAGTTACTTAAAATGCGTTAATACAGCTGGTTTATCCCAACCAGGATCTGCATTTCTCCTGGTTGTTATGCCTCTTACGTCTCTTTTTTATTTTTATATTTTCATTCCTCACTGAGGATATTTTTCATTTATCTTCAGGTAGAGAGAGGGAAAGAAAGGGAGAGAGGGAGAAACATCAATGTGAGACGGACACATCTACTGGTTGTCTCCCTCACAACGCTGACCAAGGCCTGGGACGAACCGCAACCCAGGGTGCCCTCTGCTGGAACCAAACCACGACTCATTGTTCCGTGGACCAATGCTCTAACCACTGAGCAGAGCCGGCCAGGGCCCACTTAAGTCTCTTTTAATCAAGCTACGTTTTTGTCACAGACTCTTGATTTGTTAAAAACACAAATCAAAAAACTGAACCAGTTTCCCTACGGTTTATTCCACCTTCTGGATTAGTCTGGTGATGTCATTAAGCTGTTTCTTTATACCTCTATTTCCAGTAAATTGGAATTTGAATCTAAAGGCTTGATGGAATCATGTTAAATAATTTTTGGAATATACCAATTTACTATTACAATGTAAGGAGCTGATTTATTAGTTTGATTATATATAATTTATCATTGAGATGGACCGTTGAGAGTGAAAGTCGTGCCATTAATAACTCAGTCAGGCCTTCCCTGGGAAAGCGGGGAGGTGTGGCCACTCATTTAGCTCACAGGGCTCCCCTTTCATTGTCCCCACCCACTTCCCCTATGGCTGTGGTTTCTTGTTCCTGTCTCAATGTCCGATAAAGACTGCAGGCTCCAGGAGGGCAACATATTTTGTGCTTTGTGTACTGCCCTGTTCCTAGTACCTCTGCACAGTACATATGTTTGAATAAATGAGTGAAGGAAGGCTGTGATGCCTTGGCCAGGAAAAGCAGTAAATCCATTGTATGAGATTTATTTGTTCATTGTATTATTATTTTTCTCATTTATGCATACATTTGGGTGGTTTTATTTTATTTATTATTATTATTATTTTGGTTATTCCTCATCTGAGGATATTTTTCCCATTAATTGTTTGTTGTTTTTTTTTAGAGAGGGTGGAAAAAGGGAAGGAGGGAGGGGGAGAGAGAGAGAGAGAGAGAGAGAGAGAGAGAGAGAAACATTAATATGAGAGAGACACAGTGATTGCTTGCCTCCTGCATGTACACTGACTGGGGCTGGAATCAAACCTGCAACCCAGGTACATGCCCTTGACCAGAAATTGAACCCAAGACTGCAGGAACTGATGCTCTAGCCACTGAGAAACACCAACCAGGACTGGGCAGTTTTATTGAAAGGCTGTCTGTGTTTTGAATCAGCCTAAGGTATAGAGGATACACAGACATTAAAAAAAAAGTTTAGAGAGCAATAAAATAATTGCTATAATGTGGGTGTACAGGAAATGCCACAGGAAAAGCAATCTCTGCATCTGCTGGTGGAGTCAAGGAAGGTTTCACAGAGGAGGACATTTTCAGTCAAGTAAAGAACCATGATAGAAAACAAGTCATGCAAAGAAATCACGCACAAAGGAACAGAATCAAGAGAGGGTAACTAATGTGCTGAAAATTACAAGCAGGTCCATGTCCCCAGAGCATAACTAGGAGAAAGGAGGTTTTGATATTCACAAATTACTTTAAAATGAAAACCACGAGAAGGCAGCACTTCCCAAGGTAGGAAACCCAAAGTGAAGATGCTTGCTAGCAGCTCTCAGTGCCACCATCAGAAACACAGACTCGAAGACCTGAAGTAACCGCAAAGGATGGTCTGAAATTAAAAGGTTATGTCCTAGGCCAGCATCTTCCCTGACAAAGGTCAATCTTTACCTTAACTGAGCCTATTTTCTTTATACATCGATGAGAACATATCTGTGGAATGTCAAAGCAATTTTCCTTTTTCCAGTTCCCTCAAAGCTCAGGACCACAAATCCCTTCATTGTTATTGAGTTAATTGTTAACCGTTAACTATCCTGTACCCACCTATGTTAAAGATGTGTGTGTCTATAATTTCACTTTTCATCCAATTCCAGCGGTACCCCCTCACCACCGCTTTGTTTCCTCCTGCCCCCTAGTCTGCCACCAATGGATTTCATGTAACTCACTTGTGTCTGCTTTTTTTATTATAACGTATAAAATAAGATGCAAAACTGCCATTCTCTGGAGCCTTATCTCAATTCATTGAGTTTTGTTTCTTGACAATTTTGGCTCAAATAAACTCACACAAATTCTCCACAGGTTTGAATGTTTCTTACATTGACAATAGACATCTATGTATTTTAATATGAATTTAGAAAAGCATCGGTTTTCCACTATGATAATTTAAAGTTTCCATTTAAAATACATTTAAGTTTGCCTGGTTGGTTGAGTGTTGACCCATGCACCAAGAAGTCACCGGTTCAATTCCTGGTCAGGGC